AGAGCTGGATGCCATCTCCCACTAGAGTTTCTCCTCATCTGGGGATGCTTAGATAAAAGGAGAAACCTCTATTAAGGTGACCAATTTTCCCTTGTTTCCCTTTTTAGATGGGAAATCAAGCCTCAAGGATCCAGGAAGCATCCCCCCTTGCCTGCTTATGAAAACATTGGAAAGATCTTGATCCAGAAAGTCTTCAGCAAAAGCCACTCAAGTTTTACTGCACCCAGGCTTGGCCACAATATCCTCTGGGAGATGAGGAAAGATGGCCAGAAGGCGGGAGCCTTAATTATAATACCATTCTTCAATTAGATATGTTCTGTAAAAAGGAGGAAAGTGGACCGAAGTTCCATATGTTTAGTTGTTCTTTTTCCTAAGAGACCACCCAGAATGGCTAAACAAATGCAGGCTAGATACCCAGGCCATGGTAACCCTTTGCAACAAGCCCCCAAACTCCCTTGAACCAAAAATCCCATCTTATGCTCCATCAGCTCCCTGTCTTCCTCCTTACCCAGCTACCTCACACACTGAAAGCTGTCCCACAGGACTCTACCCACTCCAGTTAATTCCTGGAGGGCACAGAGCTTATGTTTCTTTCAGAGTGAGTGAACTTAAAGAAATATAAAAAGGGATTTAGGAAATTACACAGAAACCCAGATGAGTACATCCAGGCATTTAGAGAAGTCAGCCAAAACTTTGAACTGAGCTGGAAAGATGTAATGCTATTGCTATCTCAGACCCTCACTTCTCTAGAGAAACACTGGGTAGTAGCTCAGGAAGTCACAGCTGGAGACAATTATCACTTAGATAAAAGTGGCCCTACTACAGTCCTGTCACTGATGTCAATTTGCATTAGACTGTAGAATGTGAATACTGATTAGGGATACCATGACTAAACTTAAACCTGGCAACCCTCAATTGCCTTGCCAAAGCAGATGTGATCCTGGGAGAAGCATTCCATCAGGCAAGGGATTTCCTCCACCACAGCTGAGGCTGGGCTTTGCACAGTATGGGCTGGACATTTCTTCTTGCTTTGGACTAAGATGTTTTTACACCAGTGTTAAACTCCTTCCCTTTCCATGTTTACTTTGTCACCATGAGGAATTCCTTCTAACCACATATTTTGCACACAAAAATCTATGAAAGCAGACACAAATCATGTGGAGTAGTGGAACAGTTTTCTATGTGAAATTTTAAGTACGTTAGGACCGTATCAGACAAGAACACAACAGATCCAGTCATTACCACTACTGAGATTATCAGGCAGCTCCCACAGTTTCCTAAAGCTCAGATTCCTGGGCATACTATGAATTGCCAGAGTTGGCAGTATAGATAGGAACAGTATTATAAACCCCAAGGTCCAGAACAACTAGAAGATCCATTGATGTAGAGTAAGACAAAAACTCCCACTGGACATTTTGTCCAGCAGTCCCTTGGTACAGAAAAAGAGGAAAATGGTCCCTATGACCATTAGAAAGCTCTACCTGAAAGTGACTAGGCAGGTATCTGCCCTCTTGAACAGATGAGTTCCACTGCAAGATGAATCCAGCCTCCAACCCCTCTATTTAGTATCCCTGTGAACACCAACCAAGTCACTCCAAACCATCAATTACTAAATTGTTGAGGCTGCCATTAGCTGCACTATGACATGGCACAGAAAAATCAGCATTTGGCCAGACAAATGGGGTTTTTCTCTTCAGGGATGGACTGACTGTCAGTCTCTTCTTATAAATTGCAGACTCACTTGTGTTATTTCCTGGTGAAGGCTCTAGATATGGTGTGGTCACTTAATGGCCTTGTTCAAAACAGAGACTAAATGATACCTAAGTATGCTTTTGGACTTCATGTTTGTGTAGGATGGATGTTTCCTGCCTTTCTCAGAAGACATCTTTGTACCAGTCCTCCAGTCTATCAGCCTGCACAACTTGCTGGTCCCCCAGTGGTGGTTTAAGTACATCATTGAGGAGTTAAATCCCATAATTCCTCCCCATACTCGGTCTAGCAGGAAGGCCAGACCTGTAGTACTGCTCCTTTAGTCTGATCACTGCTGTGTGTGCCCAGATACAGAACCCCTGCATGGACAGTACAGGGGATTGCAGATCCTGGTGAGCTTCAGAGGAAACAAGGAACAATGTCTGTGCAGGGTATGGCTTTGCATCTAGAGTGGCCATTACACAGACTGCAGAGTAGCACCCTAGAGGCCTGGGTGGGGAGAACTGGGCTGTGCAGCCAGTATCTGGAGGCCAAGATAAGGCAGACTCTCCATTTCCTGTTGGGGTTCCGAAGCACTTCGAAGCCTTGGTGGAGATAGACACGGCAGTGTTAGTGATGGAGGTTGTTCTAGGTGTGATGCAGTCACTCAGTGCCCTGGTCAGGAGCAGAAGCTAAGTGATATGTTAGGATACTTGCAGGCTTTAGTGTTTGTGAAGGATGGAGATACCTCCTGCCTTTGACAGAAGAAACTTCTGTGCTAAGACTGTGGTCTGACAGCCTGGAGGTTTTGGTGACTGTCCCCCGCCCCCCAACACACACACCAGCAGTGATTTAAGTGTATGGAGAGAGGGATTAAATCCCACAAGTCCCACCCTATACCCAGGCTCCTGGTGTTACCAGTGCTGAGAACCATCACCCCATCAATTTGAGTATAAGGGAATTCAGGACCTGTTTGGCTCCAGAGAAAACCATTATAGGGTCTGCTTGTGGGGTGGCCTTTCATCTGGAGTGACCCATGCTCAGGCTATAAAGCAGAACCCCAGGGGATCAGGAGGGGAGGACTAGGCGTTGCAGTTACTATCTGAAGGCCAGGATGAAGCAGGCTCTCCAACTTCTACACAGGTTCCCATGCACTTCTAAGACTTGGTGGTAATAGAGAAGTCTGCATTAGGGAAGGAGGTGGTCCTGGTGGTGTTGAACATCAGGGAGTTCTAACCAAGTTAGCGAAGGGGCAGCAGCAGGAAGAGCATGTCCTCAATGATCTATGTGTGGAAGACAGCAAGAGAGGGACTCCTCCAATCTTGACTTGTAACAGTAACAAGGGGCCACAGTCAAGATGGCAAAGGCTGCTTAGCAAAGTTTTTGTGTATTTCCCTAAAAAATTGTAAATAGAACTGTCACGGGAAGCAACTAAGTCAATCTGTTGTGCAAGGAGCTTGTGGGTTAGCAATGCTCCGAGACAGGCAAATACTGGAACTTTCTACTTTACACTAGATTGTGGGATCACCTCATGGCTCTCCGTTCTTAGGGTGTATAACACCGTGTCTGTTTGACCTGCCAACTCCAGCAATACACAGTATTTGCCTTTTTGCTTTATTTTTTAAATGGATATCTTATTTTTCCCAGGCCTAAACAGCAACCTATTTATGCATTTTCTGTAGCTGGAAAGACAGGTATGTACCACATGCCAAGCTTATCTATTGATATTGTGTCTAGGTTTTTGTACTGGCTGGCCTAGAGCCAATCAGCCTCCTTCCAACCTCTGTAATGTGAGTATATAGTCATAAGTTCCAGCTCCTGGTGTTGGTTTTATTCTTTACAGTTTTTAATCACTCATCATTAGTGCATAACTTTACTACAAATTTCTTAAAACTTCTAGTCCAATATTGTAATTTCCATTCATTTACTCTGACCATTCGTCTTATTATGTTTATAAAAATGTGGTTTTTAATATAAAAGCACTATCAATGGTACTTATCAAAATTTAACAAAAACCCAACCTAATATATTCTATGTTTTTTAAAACATTCTCTTTTGTTACAAATTTTTTAAACATTTCCAATTGTTAATGTAGCCCCTAAACCCATTTCTACAGACTTCCACTTCAGCCTTCTTGTGGGGTGCTGTGATCATCTTAGTGATTTTTTACGCCAGTGGTGGTATGTTGCTTGTACACCATGGGATCTCCCTAGATGATCAATGACCAACAAATTATAGCAAATAATTTTTTTTGCTGTTACATGATATACCATGTATTTGGGAAAGAGACTGAATTCTATTAACTTTGATAAGAAATTTGGTGTTTTACTACATTTAAACGTTGTTTGAATTTTATTATTTGTAATTCCCACCTCTTTTTAATTAGCATGCATGAATTGTTCAAAGGAGTTTCATTGTGATAGCTCCAAACAAGCATATACTTTAAGTTTAACCCTCTGTTTTTTATGCCGTTTATACAATTTTAAGGGTTTATTCTATTCTTGTACATGCATTTTGGGAATTTTCTGCACTCTTTCCTTTGACTTCATTTCTGCCAGTAGTACTCATTTAATACGGTCATAATTTTTTAACTCTAGAACTCTTGAATTTCAGTACAAGTCATTCTCCAAATAAGTGGGGTTTTTTGTATTATTTTGTACTGGGAGTACATCGTGCCATTTACAAAATGTCTTGCAAAATATCACAGTTGAATTCTCCCCCTCCCATCATTCTCCTTTATCCCCCCATCCCTGTTAAGTTTCAACATGCCTCATTTTTCCATTTTCATACATGAGCACATATTTCCACCATATTTACCCTCCAAAACCCTCTACACTATCCTTTCAAACAGCCACTTTAAATCCTCAGTATACTGTGCTTTCAACACTTTTGTCCTTGCTTATATGCTATACTGTGTAGGATTCCCTTTAATTGGTGCTTATTAACATAGCAAAAACATTTACAAATGTAGATATGCTTCTTAACTTAAAATAGGTTTATATTCTATAAACCTATTTTATAAACCTATAAAATATAAACTTTTAAAATAGGTTTATATTTATATTTCAATAGCTGAAAATAAAAACAGAAAATGAATTTAATACATCTTCCCTTCTGTAACAATAATATACTATTCTTTTTTTGCATTCCCCAGTAGTAGCTAATTGCATACTGCATCTATAATCTGAAACTCTTTCCTTACCGTGAATCTGAAATTCTACCTGAATGCAAAAAATGATCTCAATCAATAAATACATACAGGTACTTCTATTTTATTTCTTAAACTTTAATATTGAGTTTTAAATAGGTTTATCTCATCTGTAAGAAACTAACTCCATTACTGTGTCTTTTACTAAGCAGCATTTACCTCATCCTCCCATCCCATTAGTGCTTCTTGTTGGGGAAGGAGCAGATCTTTTAGAAGGAGGACCCCACTTCTTGAAGATGATGGAACTCTTTTAAATGGGAAGGGTCCCAGAACAACTTCTTCTGAGATTAAAAGTATATCCACCATCATCTGTATTGAAAACACAATATTCTTAGTTAAGTAGTATCAATATTTTAATAGCCAATGTTTAGCTAATACTTATAAATTGCTATTAAAATATTTTGGTACTAAGAATAAGGTATTTGTCAAAACTGACAGATTTAAAAGTATGTTTTATCATAAAATTCAAATACTTATGTTTGTGTAATTCAAAAGTAAGTTTGTAAAACTCAGAAAAGTACTCAAAAATACTCATTTTGTATTGGTGTGAAAGAGGTGTGGGGAGAACTGGAGAGTAAAGTAGGAGTTAAACCTTGTAATTTAATTATAGTTAAAGTCCAGGTAAGGTGAAAACAGTTAAGTATTGGGAGAAACAGAATTAAGCATTCTTTATGTAAGTGTCGTGTCAAACAATCTTTTTTTAAAACATCCTACTGACAAAACCCCAAATACACAAGCCTACACCCAAATATCATCCAAAACTCAAGGAGATTTCCATTAGAAGTCTGAACTGTCAGTATAATGTGAAAACAGACTTACACTTTTTACAATTTATACAATAATACTAATTGACTTAAGTTCTGTTAACTTTTAAGAGCATTTAAGAAATATATGCTAAATAATGAAAAATAATTTTTATAACTAGAAACATATTTATATTCCAATTTCCTAGGAAGATTATATTCTCATATATGGCAGAATATTAATTGGCAACTTTCATTGTCTTCAACTCTGTAATTCTACTTTAGAAAATTACATCCACTGAATTATAAATTTGATTATGAAAACAGCTAAATATTTGACACAAATTCCCTTAAAAATTAGATATAATGTTTAACAGTGGTTACAAGTAAAAGTTTCAAATAATTTTCAACAGTTTCTTCTAAAAAATAAAACTGTATTCCTTTTCCTATCCAGTACAGAATGGCATCTCTGAAAATAGTACATTAACACCAGTTTTTACTGACTCACCCTTCTCATTCTTACAACAAAGATGCGTATTAATGAAATAGTGACTTTTTAAATTGTCTTCCAGAATCAGAGACACTCTTGAGAAGTTCTAGATAATCTCAGGAAGCAAATTTTCAAGCCTCAAGCTCATATACAAATTGTAACCAAAATGACATAGGAATAGGTTTGCACACACATTTCCAAAAACAAGTATTTCATGAGCCACCCTACAATATTATTTATTTCTTTACCTTTGAGCATTGTTAATGACTTTTATTTATTTTTGCTGTGCTTAATTTCTGTTAATATTTTACGATGAAACTCATTTGAAGTTCTGGGCTCAAAGTGAAAAACTGAAAAGTATGAGCAATAGAAATGAGTTCCAGCTTGGCACCGGTGGCTCAGACCTGTAATCCTATTTATTCAGGAGGCAGAGATCAGAAGGATCGTGGATCGAAGCCAGTCCGGACAAATAGTTCTAAGAGACCCTATCTAGAAAAAACCCTTCACAAAAATAGAGCTGGTGAAGTGGCTCAAGATGAAGGCCCTGAGTGAAAAGCCAGTACCAAAAAAAATAAATAAATAATAATAATGAATTCCACACAAAACTTGTTGAATGAGTAAAGGCAAGTAATATTACTAGCAACAACAGTATTTAGTTTACACTATTTTGTTGCAAGGTGATTAGGATTTTAAAAATATTTAAGAGAAACCAATCATTCTTGTAATTCCAGCACTTAAAAATAATTTTTATTATCAATAAAATTAACCTTTTCTTATAGGGAAGTAAACAGAAATAATTCTAACTATGTGAACTTACTGGTTTTTGATCCTATGTTTGCATCCTTGAATCTTAAGATATTACCCAAGCACCCTTCACGTGAAGAACGACCTCTTGGTGTACCACTTCCTCCTCTTCCACACCTCAGACTTCTTTGGGGGACTTTAGTTCTTGAAAGAGGTGGCAGTTTGTGCCTACCATGACTTTCAAAAGATGGTTTCTTCTTGGCTTGCTCTACTTTGTTTTTCCATCCAAACACTAAAAAGATCAAGTACATCATCAATACCATCGAATTTAACTTAAATTCTTCAATATATTCCTATTTTTATTGCAACAACACTCAAGTTTTAGGTTTTTCCAAAAGTAAACACTTTCCTCTTAAATGAATACGTGCTTCACAATCCACTGTGCACCAAAATGTGCATTACTACCATTTCTTGAAATGTCTCTCACATTTAAAAGTAAAATTAAAACCTCACTGTGATATATTTTATAATACATAAATCTTAATCTTTATATACCTGCTACATACATAAAATTTTAGACAGTTACACAAAATTATTCCTCATGCTATTCATTCTGTTTCACTATTTGTATGTTAAAATTTAAGAGAGGAGAAGTCCCCCAGTATGATTTCCTATTCACTACCTACTCTAGTTCTAATAATTTTATTTCTTTAAGTAGGATCTTTACTTGGTCTCATTTAGAATTTTCTGCCTGACTCATTTCACCTTTTGTTTTACATATGTGTAATTATCAAAGTACTTCTTTAATACAGTATTTCCTGTTTTTATTTCTGAGAAATATGTCAATGTCCTAAATCATCTCATGATAAATTTCTATTGATTTCTTTTTCTGGAGGTCAAAGTGATTTTTAAAACCTAATTCAGGTAACTGTTCCACTCTGTTGGCTTATTACTTTTGAAACATACCAAATCCTCACTAAGACCGCAGGTAAATATTTATATTCTCCCAATATCTACTGCCATATAGGCCAGCCGTGGAGCTTCATTTGCTATTTCTGGCCTAAATGTTTTCTGAAGATTTGGAGTGGCTATGTCGGTTCAGTATTCAGGAGTCAGTTAAAATTTCTTGATCTTTCTATATAATAAAAGTGTTCAGTGATTAAGCACTGATTAAATCATCAGTTCAACTGAAGACTTTAGAGGGAAATTGGATTACTAATAATTATTCTTCATGTGTTTATACCTAATGGAAACTGTGAGCCAAATCTCACTGTTAAGTTTCTTTAAAACTTTAACATGAAAGTAAAACACGAAGAAAATACTGTGTTCATGTATCAAGAGTTTAACATTATATTTCAGAAATAAAGGCAATTAGCATCCATGGATCACAATAAAGAAAGTTTAAACTTGCTGAAGGTAATTCAACAATGAACAAATATATGATAGAGTGAGCATAAAATGCATTATATCTTTTGGAATTTGAATCAAAACTATTATTCCTGTAAAAGTAGGAATTAACTGTTCCTTCTTGTATGTCTTTCTAGGCTTTTTATTCCACAGAAATACTTCCATGAACTGAAATAGCACTTTTTGGGTTTTTTTGCAAACACTATCCTATTTCTTCTACTATTCTTGTGGGGTTTTCTTCTAAAGTTTAGCAGTTTTTTGGAGGCTAACAACCTAGTCACATTTACACTGGAATACTAACAAAATTAAGTATAATGTACGTTAATTAATATGGTGTTTCAATCTCCTTCCAACAATTTTTGAGTGATTATGTAACAAAAAAGAACCATGGGTAAATAATTGTAGTTATATGGCATTTTGCCAACTTAAAATTTGTAGAAAAATGGCCAGGCATGGTGTCTCAAACCTGAATCCCTGCTTCTTGGTATACAGAGATTGGGAGGATCTCAGTTTAAGTCCATTCTGGGTAAAAATCCACAAGACCACATCTCAACCAATGGCTGGGTGCAGTGGTAGTGGGTGCCTGTCATCCCAGCTACAAGTGCAAGTACTAACAGGAGGATCATGGTCCATGCTGGTCTGGACATAAAGTGAAATACTAATCTCAAAAATAACCAACCAAAAAGGGCTCACAAAGGGGCTCAAGATGCAGAGCTCTACTTAAAAAGTACAAGGCCCTTAGTTCAATCCCCATTATTGCCAAAAGAAAAAGCAACACTGGAGAAAAATGGGAAAGATCTATAAATACTGTTACTTGCTGAACAGATCTAGATTATTATTAAAAGATTCCTACCTTTCCATTCCTACCTTAGCATCTGCAGGGCTTTCAAAAGTAATAAAAGCAAAGCCTCTAGACTTCTTCGTTTCTCAATGCTTCATCAATAGAACTGTAATACATGTAAACTTTTAAATTATGTAAACATAAAGGTTAAACTTCCATTCAACAAAATTGTCAGTCCTTAAACAATCTGTCACAAAGCTCTCATACAACAAACACAGCATTATCATCAACCATTTAAAAATCATCTTAAATGTAATCTAAAATTTTGTTTCATATTATATTAGTATTCTCAATATTATATGTAAAAGACTTCACAGTTAGCCTTTCTCACCACATTTCACACCAACACCCACAGCATATTAATTGTTTTTATCTTCAGTAGTAAGAGATGCTTAGGGCAACACTTTACCCATCCCATGCATCAGTGCTTTTGTAAAAATAAGGAAATGTTAAACCCAGAAAATGACAGTCCTAGTCATGTAAAGTTTCAATAAAAAGACATTTTTATAGTTTATATTTACTTTGAACGATACATAGATTGATTCTTAACTTCAATTACCTTCTAGTATGTGTCCAAATTTTCCAAACACTGCTTCAATAGACTTTGCATTGGTCTCTGCATTGAGGCCTCCTATGAAGAGTTTTCCAGGCTGAACAACTTGCATCATTTTGCTGTTAAGTGGGCCAAATGGTTCCAATTTTTACACTACATTTAAAATTCAAGAAAAGTACTGTAAATAGACTGATAATGTTTTTTACTTCTAAAAACTGAAACCTTTTAATACATAAGGCAAAAAGTAGCAATGACATATTAGGCCAAAGTTCTGGTTTCTATATGTATCAGATTAAAAAAAAACTCGGTTGTAAAATGAAATGGGCCCTGTGCCTGTGGCTCATACCTGTAATTCTGTCTACTCAGGAGGGAGAGATAAGGAGGATTGTCATTTGAAGCCAGCCCAAGCAAATAGTTCATGAGATCCTATCTGGAAAATATCCATCACAAAAAAGGGCTGGTGGAGTGACTAACAGTAAAGGCCCTGAGTTCAAGCCCCAGTACCACAAAAAAAAAAAAGAAATGGAAAATACTATTGTAATCCTTTTGAGTTGAATATTCAGGTTGTAACTTTTAAAAATTTACATTGAAAAATGATACATCTTTATGGTTCACAATATTATAGTGGAATGAGTAAAGCTAAATAACATATCCATTCCTCACATAATTATATTTTCAAAGTGAAAACATTTCATATGTATTGTTTTAGCAATATAAAATAAGCAATACGAATTACTTATGGTCATCTGAGTTTTCAAAGCGGTCGGTTTTCACCTAAAAATATGTTAAAAGTTATTTTAAAAATTCATTTTTTGAACCCAATTATTTTTACAAAATGTACAAATTCATTTACAAAATGCTACGTATTTTCCAGTTTTTCCCCTTATCATGATTACATATGTAATACTCTCAGCTTAAAATTGTGTTTGCCAAACGTTTACATACTTAAAATGCTAACTGCTAAAAGCAATGAAAATTGTAGCCTTTATGAGGCAAAAGTAAACTTCGGCCACAATGTTTAAAGTAACTGACAGAAATTATAACAAATACCTAAAGTTTTGTTATTTCAGACAAGCAGGTAAGGATTTTGCTCTTGGAGTAACAGGACAAGTTTTTAATTGTAGTGACAGAATATCCTGCCTTTGTTTTTCTATTGTGACTCTATGTTGTCCCGGAAAAGAAAAAAAAAGCGTAAGTGAAACAAAATGGCTCCCGGCAATACGTCCAACAATCAATCCAGGACTAGACTGCTTGTCCAAATATAACAAAGGAAAAAAAATAAAGGTGAACCACCACAGGAGGGGTAAGGAGTTAAAATAGTAATAAGACTGATTTTCACTCCAACAAAAAGGTTTTCAACCTTTTTTCCCTTCCCAGACTCCACAAACTTTAAACCCATCCCCGTACTCAAGAACAAAATCCGGGTTCTTTGCCGGCTTTACTTTCTAAGGGTCCCTACATAAAGGGTATTTTTAGCATAACGAACCCTAGCTCCTTCCCATACACACGGCTTTACACATCCCCATTACATACATTACATATACAATATTTAATTAAATATACACATTTGTATATATATATATATATATATATATATACACACATACACAATGTACAATTTACTCGTACATTTAAAATTTTCCAATTAAATCCTGAGAGAAAAATCAAAATTCGGGTATTTCTCATTAAACGAAATGATTTAGCTTTGCGTTGTCTCTTCTGTCACTCAAACTCACTTTCGTACTTAAATTTGGAACTTCCTTACCCTCTCCTGGCTTTCTGCTCTTGTGTTAGCATTGCCAGCGATGTGAGCTATCCTAATGGTCCACGGCAACTGCGCAGGCAAGTAATATAAGGGGCTGGGGGACCCGGATGTGATGGTTGAAGCCGCAGAGGAAGTAGGGAATATGGAAGGTCCTAAAGTGAAGGGGTGACCCGAAAATTAATTTAGAGGTGCAGACGTGTATACAGATACTGATCGTACAATGCAAAAGGTAAGGTAGATGAACAGAACGGATTCTCCAATTTCTTTGCTTTACTTCATTACAATTGTGTTTTAATCAAGTTTAAGTGATAATCCACAATTTGTCTCCCCCTTCCAAATGTTAACGATATGGTATGCCCACATGTCTCCAAACGGCACTATTTTTAATTTGCAAGGGAAAAAATAAGCAATAAATAAACTTGTAAGAGGTATACAAATAAAACAATAAATAAAAATTAGGAAAGACATTTAAAAAAGGAAGTTACAGATCCAAAGCTTCTGTATCTTGAAAATTTAATTCTCAATTTTTTATTCAATAGATTGATGTAGTATCTGATCCAAACTTTCAAAATTGATAAGAACAGAGTTATAGAAGACAAATTCTCCTGAGTTTTTGTATAAAAAATTGTACCGTTAAGTAAATAAAACTCTATTCGGTAAAAAGTACATTTTCATTCATGATAAATATTTTTGTATTATCTATCACATTACTTTTTCTTATTTGAAAAGTGTTCCTTTATGATACAAACCATCATTTTCAGTGCCTAATATCATATTCTAACAAATTACTCTCCACTCCTTTTTTTGTTTTTTGGCAATACAGAGGTTGAACTCAAAGCTGTGAACTTCCAAGACAAGGGGCTCTCTCACTTGAATCACATCTCCAACCATTTTTGGCTTTTAGTTATTTTCCAGGCAGGGTCTTGCTTTTTGCTAGAGGCAAAACACCTGTGATCATCCTACCTGTGTCTCCCACATGTCAAGGATCACCCGGGCACAACACCCTGCCTGGCTCCTTGGTGAGATTGGGGTCTTACTAAGTTTTTGACAGGGCTGGCCTTAAACCGCTATCCTCCCTATCTATGTTTCCCATACTTCTTTTTATACCCTATACATTCTGACCATGATAAGCAATATATTACCAAGTATGTCTTCTTTGATATCTTAAGCTTTCCTTGCAATATTCTTTCTTCAGGAGAATAATCCATCAGTGAAACCACATACCCAAAATAGATTTTTATATATTTATATAATTTATGGAAAATTGTGTTTAAATTGACAGTTAAAATTCTTAATATTTTTCTGAGTATTTTATCCTCATACTTGCCACATTCTTACAAGATAGACATTAATTTGGGTAAGGCTCTGTAAGTATATATCATCTCTTCTCTTTCATTTTGAACAGGTAAAATTTGTGACTTGTTTTAGTTAATATTCCTTGAAGGAAATTACCTTTATTAATGATTTTTGAAAAGGTAATAACTATATTATAAATGATAGAATGGTATGTTATCATGAATTGACAATTGCATGAGCCAGTCAGAGGATATCATAGGAAAAACAGTCATGGAATTAATATATTGTAGGATTGAGGATGTATTTTGATGGTTAAAAGAAAAATATTTACATACCACTACTTTCTAAATAATATTAGTGTCAACCACTTATTTGAATTATCTAAATATATTATCTACCAACAAAGTTTTTGTGACTCATATGGCACCTTTATTTTATTACACACATTTTGGGCAAAAGGAACATAATGTACAAAACTGAAATTTGCCCACAGTTTCCAGTAATGTATTGACAGGAGAGCTGTAATTTTTTTTAAAAGTGTCTTTTCATAACATTCATTACTAAAGAAAACCAACTTTTATGAAGACATATGGTAATAATTTTCTGAGATGTGTTTTGAGCAAGATTTTTGTTATTTATTTCTCATTTATTCATATGTGCATACCTTGTTTGGGTCATTTCTCCCCAATATCTTCTGCCCCTTCCCTCTGCCCCCCATGCCTCCACACTTCCAGGCAGAAACTCTTCTGCCCTTATCTCTAATTTTGTTGAAGAGAAAACATAAGCAATGATAAGAAAGACAAAGAGTTTTTGCTAGTTGAGATAAGGATAGCTATACAGAGAGATTCCTAGCATTGCTTCCGTGTACAAATGTGTTACATTCTAAGTTGGTTCATCTCTAACTGTCCTTTTTTCTAGTTCCTGATCCCCTTCTCATATTGACTTCTGTCGCTTTAAAATTTCTGTAGTAGTTCCTCTGCAGTGAGGACATCAAATACTATCATGTTTTGTGTTTCTTACCTGTCCTCATACCTCCTGTGTGTGCTCTCCCCTTATCATGTGACCCAAGTCCACCCGCATTGCTGCATTTGCACTAGATCTAAAGCCTGCATATGAGGGAGAACATATGATTTTTGGTTTCTGAGCCTGGCTAACCTCACTGTTTTGAGCAAGATTTAATCATAGATTATCTCTTCATTAGAAGCATTAATGACTATGAAACATTATAATGAATATTGTCATTAACACAATAGAGAAACAGGCTTCCATCAAAAATACTGGTAGCTTCACAAAAGTGGGGAGAACACTGGTGTTTGAACTCAGGGACTTGTACTTGCTAGACATGCACTATAAAACTCAAGTGACAAACACAGCCATTTTTGAAGTTATTTTTCAAAGAGGACTTCAGTTTTTGACATGATGTCTCTTGGATCATGATCCTCCTGATCCCACTTCCTGAGTAGCACTGCTTATAGGCATAAGATATCACACCCAACTCTAAGGTCCAAAATTTATTAAGTATGTAAAGATGGTTAAATTCCCTAACTACTGAAATTTATGCAATCAGCAAGAAGAAGATAATGATCATTTCTATCAAAGTATTTTGTTGTTAAATAATGTCCAGCACACCGTCAGGGCAATACTTAAAATATAGCTCAGGCCTCAAAAGAGTATAGATATTATAATTACCTTAACATAGGCATAACTTGAAATTAATATGTAATCCTGTTTTAGAGCAACATGACAAAACTATAAAAATATGTTTAAAAAGAATTGAGAGACAGGGCTGTCTGCTGTCTCCACTCCAATTCAATACAGTTTTGTGGAATTTCTAGCTAGATCAATAAGACAAGAGCAAGAAATAAAAGGAATTAAAATAGGGAAGGAAGAAGTCAAACTATCCCTATTTGTAGACAATATACCTAAAAGACCCCAAAAACATGATCAAAAAACTACTAGAAATCATAAACTCTTTCAGCAAAGTAGCAGGATACAAAATTAACATACAGAAATCAGTAGCTTTTCTAAACAACAATGTACAGACTGAAAAAGGAATCAGGGAAACAATACCATTTATTACAGCCTCAAAAACATAAATCTAATAAAAGCAACCAAAGACCTTTTCAATGAAAACTATAAATCACTGAAGAAGACATCAGAAGATGGAAAGAACTTCCATGTTCTTGGATTGGTAGAATCAACATTGTGAAAAATGGCCATTGTACCAAAAGCAATCTACATTTTCACTGCAATCCTACAAATGACATTCTGCACAGAAATAGAATAAATAATCATGAAATACATATGGATACACAAAAGACCTCAAATAAACAAAACACTTCCGAGCAAAAAATCCAATGCTGGAGGCATCACAATACCAGACTTCAAAGTATACTACAGAACCATAACAATAAAAACAGCATGGTATTGGCACAAAATCAGACAGAAAGATCAATGGATTAGAATAGAAGACCCAGACAGAAGCCTACATACCCAGAACCTACTGATCTTCAACAAACAAACCCAAAACACACAATGGAGAAAAGACAGCCTTTTTAGCAAATGCTGCAAGGAAAACTGGATATCCACATGTAAAAGAGTGAAACTAAATCCCTATCCTCCACCCTGTACCAAAATCAACTCAACCTGGATCAAAACCTTAATAAATGACCTAAAAATTTGAAACAACTCCAAGAAACAATAGGAAATACACTGGAATAGATAGGTATAGGGAAAGACTTCCTAAACAGAACTCAAAAGGCTCAGCATCCAAGAGAAAACAGTCATCAGACTCAAGAGACAGCCCCAGAATAGGACAAAATCTTTGTCAGCTGTTCATCTGATAACAGACTAATATCCAGAATCTACAGGGAACTAAAAAACTCCGAATGAAAGAACCAACACCAAATGAAGAAATGGACATGTGAATTAAACAGTAAATTCTCAAAGGAGAGGTACAAATGGCCAGTAAATATATGAAGTGTTCAATTTCCCTGGTTATAAAAGAAATGCAAATCAAAACAACACTTTGATTTCATCTCACCAAAGTTGGAATGGCTATAATCACGGGTAGTAACAACAACAAATGCTGTCAAGGATGTGATAAAATAGGATCCATTATACACTGCTGCTGGGAATGCAAATTAGTATATTAGTCCATTAGGGAAAGCAGTCTGGAGATTCCTCAAACAGCTAGAGATACCAGTGCTACTGTTCCTGGACATCTACCCAAAAGAACATAAGACAGGATATAGTAGAGACACCTGTACACCGATGTTCATCACAGCACTATTCATAATTGCTAAGTGCTGGAAATAACCCAGGTACCCTACAACTGATGAATGGATCATGAAATTGAGGTTTATATACACAATGGAGCATTACTCAGCCAAAAGGAATAATGGCATGGTGTTTGAAGGTAAATGGATGCAACTGGAGGACATCATGGTAAGTGAAGTTAGCCAGGATCAGAAATACAAAAGTTGCTTGTTTTCTGTAACACGTGGAAGATAGATCCAAAGATTAAACCTATATACAAAAACAAGCTTCTCATGTATAAACTCAGAAGTAGAACATCTTTGTAACAGTGTAACTTCTCTATGAAACTCTGGGAAAGAGGGAAAGGAAAAGAGAATGACAGAACATCAGTAATGTTGCATATCATAAGATATGAAAGTAGAGGACAGAGAATGTGTATTGAAATCTGTTGAAAATCTGGGGAAGGAAGTAAATTGTAAGGGAGAGCAATGGAAAGGATTAAAGAGCCCAGAGTAAAGCACACCCACAGTGGATAGATATTGGAACATCAACTAAATATTAATTACAAAAAACAGTACTGTAAAATAAACACAGTGTATTCAGAGGGGGAAGGTATTAGTGTGGGGGGGTGAATGAAGGATATCAAGTATATATATCCTTATATATCCTATATATATATATATACATATATATATATATAGGAACATATATAAGTATATGGTGGATAGACTACATATAAGTATATGAAATAGAACTGCAAAACCTCTTGCAGAAAAGGTCAGATTACAAAGAATTAACCTAGAAGGTAACACACACACACAGGAAATCAATGTGAGTCAATGCCCTGTATAGCTATCCTTATCTCAACCAGCAAAAACCCTTGTTCCTTCCTATTATGGCTTATACTCTCCCTACAACAAAATTAGAAATAAGGGCAAAATAGTTTCTGCTGGGTATTGAGGGGGTGGGGGGAAGTGGGAGGGGGTGGAGTGGGTAGTAAGGGAGGGGGTGGGGGCAGGGGGGAGAAATGACCCAAGCCTTGTATGCACATATGAATAATAAAAGAAAAAAAAATAATAACAAAAACCTCTTGCAATTGCTTTAAATGGGGTGGAAAGAAGGCTAGGGGCTGAAGGAAATATAAATAATGTACAATATAAGTCTGATTGGAATTGTCACTTCAAATCCCCCCATATAATGAATATAGTCTAATAAAAATTTTATTAAAAAGAACTGCATTACTTTGATTATTTTGCATTAAGTAAAACACCCAATAATATATTATTGTATGCTAACTTTACCAATATGCCTAAAAAAGGGAGAGAAAGAAATGAAGCACACACAAATACAATTGGAGTAAATAAAATTAACAGTGAAAAAAAAATTATAATAACCTTCCATACACTATTATAGTAGATTTGCAAAAAAAGTGACATAAGTAATTTTTCAATAATCTAACTTATGAAGAATGATCTAAGAAACTCCAGATACAGTGAATCCTAAATTTTGAAATTATGCCAATTAAAACTCTTTCTGTATTATTTTTACTTTCTTATTTTAATTTAGATGGCAAAAGTTAAATGTTTCAATTGTTTTAGGAACCTAATCCAAAAGGACAGTACATAAAAATATGTACATATTAAAGAAAATATAGGTTGGGCTTAGTGGCTCAAGTCTGTAATTCCAGCTCTTTGGGAGGATAACGGTTTGAGGTCAGTCCCAGTAAAAACTTTTTGAGATCCCATCTGAGCCAGTCAGTATACTTAGGCAGGGTTGTATGTGCTTATCATCCCAGTTACTCAGGAAGGCAAAAATAGGATGATTTCAGTCCAGGCTGGCCCATTCATAAATTAAGGGCCTATTTAAAAGAATAACAAATACAAAATTGGCTGTTAGAGTGGCAGAGTACCTGCCTACTAAACACAATATTTACTAAGAAGGCATAAATCAAATAAGAATTAATGCAGTTAGCTATTACCAGGAAATACAGTTAATAGAGGAACAGAATATTTGGGTACATTAAAAAAGCAAAACTGAGGACATGGATTCAATATAGGACAAACAAATTGAGAGAAAAACAAAGAGATAAAAAGGAAAATACTTTCAAAGACACTTTTAGAAATCCAATAACTATTTTGATAGTGAAATCTTGTCTTAATTTTGTTTGAAACAATTTACTATAATGTTTGCCATTAACAATAGAAATTTGAATATTTGACATTGAATGTTTTAAAATATTGTTCACAAGGGTATCAGTGTTTTTGTTTATTTTGTTTAGCTTTGCTTTGTTCTTATTTCTTTATTTTGGTAGTGTGTTGGCCCATGATATTATCCATAGCTTATGTATTGTCTTGTCTCGAGCGTCAACAAGCACTGATATACTTCAGTGTTGTGTGAACTGGATGATCCCAGAGCGAACAATACACTACAAAAGTGTCCTTAGTTTGCCTCCAACTCACCTATATACTTGCCCCCTCTCCACTAAATAAAATAAAACAAACAGATAAATCATTTTTGTTTAATTTTAAAATACCATAGATCTAATTTTGAGTTCACTGAGATATTCATGCTGCCTTTTCTGTATGACCAATGTTTATATCCTCACTGGAGAAAACAGGATCCACAAAACTGAGTCACAGTTCTTAATTTGGTGATCTTAATAATGGTGTGTTATAACATGGCAAGAAATTAACTTTGATTATGATAAAAAGTCCCATCTTGACATTCTGTTTGAGAATTTTCCTTAAGAGTTTTCCTGATTCTTTTGGGAAATGTAATTTAATCTGTGATTCTATATATTGAGTCTGACTCTTTCAACTCTTCAAGTTTGAACAAAATATTTCCAAGCTGTTTTGTGAGGGGCTCTTTTATTTATTTGAATATTAATGTAAGTTCACAAACATTCTCACTACCCTAGTTAATTTCATACTCTGCCATTATGGATTTCATCCATCCAGGTTAATATCTTAAAATGGCAAAATCAAATAAAAGCTTAATCCCCTTGTTGTGTTTGCCCTTGATCTAATGTCCGCATATGAGGGAGAACATACGATTTTTGATCTTTTGGGCCAGGCTAACCTCATTCAGAATGATGTTCTCCAATTCCATCCATTTACCGGCAAATGATAACATTTCGTTCTTCCTCATGGCTGCATAAAATTCCATTGTGTATAGATACCACCTTTTCTTGATTCATTCGTCAGTCGTGGGGCATCTTGGCTGTTTCCATAACTTACAAGATAAAAGTGAGTGCAATTTTAGGTGCACTCACCTAAAAAATTAGCTAGCATTTGTTGCCCTTAATGCAGAGAAACTAAAGCAGATACCTTAAAAGCAAATCAGGCCAATAGGAGAAGGGGACCAGGTCACTTGCTGTATGACTCTAGATAAATTATTTAACCTCTCCTTTGTGTCCTCGTCTGTCAAAGTTAGTGTAGTAAGGTGAAATCTCTACTTGGTTTGCAAAAATATGTGCTTAGTCTAAGTTATAAATTTTCACGTGTGTGAAAATAGGAGTGAGAAGTTGTCATTTTGGGTGTTTGTGGTGTCATAGCAAGCACAGCTGCTGCCATTCACAGCATCTTATAGTTGAAACCTGGACTGGAAGGAGAAACCCAGCTGGTGCCCCAGGTCTTTCATTGTTTAAATCTGTGGTTTTGGAGCAATTTCAAACATTTTCCACCTTTGCGAAATGGAGATAATCAACTGCTCGAGTGCTACTGAGTTTTAACCTCTTTTCATGTTTGAATTTTTATTTCCCTTTAAATAGACACTTAAGAAAATCATGAAGCGGACGAGAGAGACAGATGGGAAGGTAATCTCCACACTCCGACCACCAGTGTGCAAGAATTCTTCTTGCTTCACATTCTTGCTAACTTTTTCATTTTTGCCAATCTGGTGATAATAAAATAAAGTGCATTCGCATTTCCCTGGTCGTTAAAAGGTTTGAGCGTGTTTTCCTGTCTCTAGCTCACTTTCGTGTTTCTCTCCAGTGAAATGCTTGCTTAGGTCTTTTTGCCCAAAACCTTTGAGTTGGTTTTTCTTTTTCTAACTTTCTTATAGTTCTTTGCATGTTCTTGATAATGCTCTGTTTTGGTCGTGTGTTGGACATATCTTCACCCAACTTGTGGCTTGTTTTATTATCATCTTATGCCGCTTAGAAGCTCCTGGTGCTAATGCTTTTGCATTTATTAACATTTTCTGATGACTAGCAAAGTCAAGGGCCTTTCTCATATGCTTACTGGCCATTTAGAGATCTACTTTGGTGACATGTCTTTTCAAGTCACTTGTCCATTTGCCTATTTTGTCACCTGCCTTTTAGAGGTGTGTGTGTGTGTGTGTGTGTGTTTTACCCACTCTAGTTATGAGTCCTTTGTATATCTGTGGTACAGGGATCTTCTCCCATATTATAGTTAGCCTCACTCTCTTAATATCTTGTGATGATCCAGGAGTTCTTCATTTTAATGAGCTCCAATGTACCCTTGTTCCTTTATGGCAAATGCTTTGGGGGGTCTGTTCCATAATTAATTGTTTTGCCCAACACCATGTTTTTTGATGGAGTACATGCATTCAAGAAGTGTTTTCTCTGGATTCTGTACTCTTTCTATTCTACATTACAGAACTGATTTTCTGGGGCCAGGGGTGTGGCTCAAGTGGGTAGAACACCTGCCTAGCAAGCACAAAGCCCTGAGTTCAACCCCCCCAGGACCACCAAAAAGAAAAAAAACCTGATATTCTGCCTGTTTACAATTGCCAAGTTCTCATCATTCCTATTATTTCTAAAGGAGCATGAGAATGTAGAATCAGAATGTGATTTCTGAAAAGTGCTGGGAGTCACCATCTCAAAGTTCATTCACGACTGGAGGCATGACTCAAGTGGTAGGGCACCTGATTTGCAAGCACAAAGCCCTGAGTTCAAGCCTCAGTCCCACCAAAAAAAAAAAAGCATACGATGAATGTATATTGTATTCATATATGAAAATAAAAGAATGAAACCTGTTGAAATTGTTCTAAGAAAGGAGAGAAGGGGGAAGAGGGAGAATGATGGAGGAGGTAAATCTGAGATCTGTTGTAAGCACATATGTAAATATCACAATGTATGCTTAAAAAATGTTCATTCAACTTGCGAAGCAGAGATGGCTCACTCGTATAATCCTAGCTTCTCAGGAGGCAGAGATCAGGAGGATCATAGTTCAAAGACAGCCCCAGCAAATAGTTCAACAGACCCTATCACAAAATTATCCAACACGAGAAAGGGCTGGTGGAGTGGCTCAAGCCATAAAGTACCTGCCTAGCAAGTGTGAAGCCCTGCGTTCAAACCCCAGTACCAACAATATTAAAAAGTTCACTTAAGACATTGGCTCAAAAAGTTTGGCCTCAAGCAACAGCCAAAGAACTTTTTAGCTCTTCACTGACTGGTCCCACCCTGGCTTTTATTAGGATACCAATCAAGCAGAAGACAAATTGGCGGTCCAAAGCTGAAGGCCCTTGGTCAGGGAAATTTTTCATTCTTGAATGTCTTAGCTGAAAGACAGAAGTAGGGTGACCTGCCCCTGTCCCCTGTATGTAGGTTCTTGGAGCCAGTTACAAATATTTGATTTTTTTACCTTTTATTTGAAATGCCAAAAGTTAGCCATCAAACCAATCTTTGCTTTTGTTTTGTGAGACAGGATCTCTTTGTGTAGCTCAAGCTGGCCTGGAACTCACTAAGTAGCCAAGGCTGGCCTTCAACTTGAGGTCACCCTGCCTCAGCATCCCAAGTGCTGAGATCACAGGCAGGTGCCACCACGCCCAGCTACCATCAGTCCAGTCTTCAACTTTGACCTCCTTGAATTCTAAGGCAGGATGATTAAATATTAGATATAATCACGATTTTCATTTTTAAACACAGGCTTCAGAAACATCTGACAAGGACACATCTGAAGAGGATGAGGCTGACGATGAGGATGAAATAGAGGGTGATGAAGACCCCCTTGATGAACTGTCTGCATCAGGTGTGCTTGCCACCAATGGTTCTGTTAGCCATCATTTAGGAACTGGACTGCCTAGGCTCATATTCAAAGCTCCTCCACTTCTGAGCTTTGTGGCTTGGGGCAGGTCACTTAACCTCTCTGTGCTTAGCTTTACTTTACCATCTGCAGAAGGGGAAGCTAATGTTGTCATGAGATTTCAGTGAGCTAAATCTGACTGATGGATAAGAATAGTGTCTGACATGTAGGAAACTCTCAAATATCAGCAGCAGCTGCTGTTATTTTATACATCATGCTAACAGACTGTTGGTGGCAGCTTTTTCTCAGTTGAATGTAGGGATTGCTGGCTTTTCATAGCTCAGAGTCTCAGAAAGCATCCATGATTGACTACAGGTGTAGTCTCATTAAGGAAATTGCAGTTGGGTCATGGCATGAGTGCCCTCTAAAACGTATTGTTGACTCCGTGTGAGTAGGAAGCACTTTATAGTAGAGGCAATTGCCTTTGAGAAAACACAGTTCATCCATCTTCATCCCATCAGCAGATGTTGAACAGGTAAGTCAGGTGTTGTACAAATGCTGGGGGATGAAAAGCCACAGCCTTCATCATCAAGGACCCATAGCCAGTGGGGAGACAGACATGTGGGCCAACAGTCATAGTGTCACAAGATTAAAAAGTTAAAAGAAGGTCAGTCAAAATACAGTGGGAACACAGTGGCAGGAGCCCCTGAGTCTGGGCCTATGAGGAGAGGTGAAGGTAGTAAGGAGCGTTTGAGGGGAGACCAAGCTCAGAGTCATGACTGGCTAGGCAGCAGTCGGGCAGGAGCAAGAAGTAAGAAGCAGCCCTGCCCTCTGGCCATCAGTCTTTCCCAGCAAAAGAGAGAGGACAGTTTCTTAAAGATGGTCACTTTGTGTATTGAGGCCCAGGTAAGTGTGTGTACAGGGCAGCATGGGGCCACAGCTCAAGTATATGGGCCTGGATCCCCAGAGTCCTGCCGGCCTAGTACTTCCTGCCTCAACAGGTACCTGTACCTCCCCCACCACACCCCACATCACCTCCAGATTACAGCTTTTGTTTTTTCTTGTATTTATTGTTGAAACTCCAGTTTCAATTTTGTTTTGTTTTCTTCCACAGGCATCCAACATAGAAATTCATCTTCCAAACCCAAGATGCCTTGTAAAAATGCCATGAGAAGACCTCAAAAGCTGGCGGTTTTACAAGCTGCAACCAGTGAGGGCGACTAGAATAAAAAAGCCTATTTTAACACTGATATGAAAGACAGCAGACAAAAGAGCACAAGATCCTCAAGGTGAGTCACTCAGCTCCTCATTTATCCACATAGGAGAGTTATAACTGACATTCTGAGAATTCTAAGCAGTATTATTTCTTGAGCCCTTACTTCACACGTAGCAAACACTGTGAGGCACTCAATTTAACAGAAACACACTGATGGCCTCCAACATCCTTCTACGATTTCTTCACTGCTTTAGAGTTTTCATTGTAGCAGTCTTCGACAAGTCTCTGGTTAAGCTTATGCCTACTCATTTTTTTCTTTTTGAGGCTATGGTGAATGGGATTGTTTTCCTGACTTCTTTTTCAAACAAGTGCATTGTTGGTGTATAGAAAAGCTACGATTTTTACATCTTGCTTCCTTGGTGAAATTCCAGATCAGATCTCAGAGTCTAGAGGGCTTAGGATCTTTTAAGTATAGGATCATCAGCAAACAAGGATAGTTTGACTTCTTCCTTTCCTATTGAAGGACTAAAGGACGGACTGCAGGAGGTCCCATAAGGTGATAAGTGATGAAGGAGAAAATCTCTCCTTCCCAGGAAATCTCTGTCTGCACCTGAGAGACATCTCTGGACCCAGGCAATGCAAAAAAAGGCTATAAAACCCAATCCCCAACCTGACCCATGGGATCACTGGTTTCCGGGTTCCCCTGCATTCTCCAATATGCAGTCTTTCTCTTCTCTTCTCTACAAATAAAATCTTCCTGACCTCTGCTGTTGGAGTCCACCTGTGCTTTCTTCCTCAGAGCGGGCTCAAGAACCCTGAGCACCTGAAATTCCTGCATGTGTCATCCATGCATCACTATTTGTATTCCCTTTCTTTCTTTCCCTTTCCTTATCACTCTGGTGAAGAACTCAAACACTACATTGAAGGAAGAGTGGTGCTTGTGGCCAGCCTCAATTGCTCCTGGTTTTTCAGGAAATGCTCTGTTGTTCTGCATTTTGTGTAATATTGGCTCTAGGCCTGTCATCTGTATCCCACATTGTGCTTGGGTATGACCCTTCTATTACTAGTTTCTTCAGGTATTGTTACCATGAGAGGATGCTTGATTTTATTAGAGGCTTTTTCTATATCTGTGTAGGTGATTGCATGATTCTTGTCCTTGCTTCTGTTAGTATGCTGCATTGCATTTATCGATTTGTATATGTTGAACTATCCTTCAGTCGTGCAGCGAAGTCAGTTTACACATAATGTATGATATTTTCAATCTGCTGTTGAATTCAGTTTGAAAGTATTTTATGAAAGATTTTTGCATTGAAAATGAGGCACAGGCTAATGACATCGAAAACATATTCAATAAAATAATGGCAGTAATTTTCCCAAATCTTGGGAAAGATTCTCTGGAGGCTCCCTGAATTTCAATTGTTCCTTGTTTTCTGCTTGCCACAATAGTTCAGTCTCAAATAGTAGATAGTCTCTCAAGATGGCGAATGGCTATTCATTTTGGAGTAATTAGAATTCTAACCACATTATCTCTTTCCAGATCACATACAAAAAGAATACCCCAAACTGGAAAAGCTGCTCTCAGATCCACCATGAGCGTCAACACAAATCAGGAGTGGATGTGTGGCCAGGTAATTGACATTAGTCACAACACTGAAACACCTGCCACAAAGTCCACCCCTGATACATACAAACACAATGTGAACGATTCCATGGCATCTTGCTAAAGTACTCAGGCACCTTTAGACCATAAGATAAGGCACAAACATTTTCCAGCCCGTTTGGGTATGGCCTCATTCCATCATCACAGTATACAGTCTTTGGAGAAGAGGAAGAAGACCGTGGTGAGTCTACAAAACTGATGTAGAGGGCTCTTCCATTAAGTTAGTTTAGGGAGAATAGTTAACTCGAGTCTAATTTTTATGTCCCACATTTCCTGCCAGATATAAAAAATAAGTCCTTTTCAAAATCCAGATTCCTCTGAGCTCCTTGTCCTCTGGTGGCCTGACAAACACGTAGATGTTCCTTATGGGCAGAAGGTTACGGAGATCTTTGGAATTTGTCCTTTATTCTGTGTTTCCAAAACCATAAGACCATTGTTTTTCTCTCCTTAAGAAGCTCTCTTTTCACTTAAGTGAAGCATCGTGGGGTCCTTTTGGAGTTGAGGAAGTCAGGGGCATTTATGAGAGCACCAGGCGTCACCAAGTCTGGAGGGCTGCCAGAGGTCTAGGACCCACCCCAATGGGAGGCCAGAACCAAGTTGCCAGAGACCACCAGCATCTCTATTAATCTTTCTTTTCTTATACCCCCGATTAGACATACAAGCCTCGTGGGACCAGGGAGATTGATCATCTTCTGCTGGATAAAACCCCCACGCCAAAGACTCAGAATTTTCTGCCTCATACTTGAACCTAGAAAGAACATGGCTGTCAAAAAACAAAAGAAACAAAGAAGACATCCAAAGGTCACCTTGACAACTACTTCAAAAGTTGTTCATATCATCTTGTTTGAATAAAGAGGTTTCTGTTTTCCTTGAAAAAAATCTCCATTGTCTCTCTTGTGTGTGTAGGAGTGAGTGAATCAGAGTGAGTGAATCGAGGGTGCTTTCGTTAAGTGGTGACAATCCTGTTTCCTAAAGAATCCTTTTGCAGGAATTATCCTCTCTCAGTATATATTGGAAATCCTACAAATAATGTTTATTCTGTTTAGCAATGACATCAACTTTGGCATTTGGAGTTGTGTGAACAATTCAGCTTGCTGAGAACAGCTATGTCAGATTGTTTGCAATATACAAACACTGAAGGCTGTATAATACAGTAAAGTTTTACCATGATAAGTGTATTTTTAATCTTGCCATGGTCAGTGTATAGCATTGATACTTCAAATGCTGGGGGTCCTAGAAACCGTAACCTTAGAACAGTCGGCATCTTTTACACTCATCAGTGTTTCCTTTTGAAGTACATATTGTTGTTTACCTGAACCATAGATGCCTTTTTTGTGTACATAAAACAGTACTTGGCTGTTGTTGTGGGATACATTTAATTGCCCTGAATGTCAAATGTTTACCTTTTTCTGCTTGTACTCCCCAAACCTGTCCTTCAGTATACACTCAGGCTTGGAGCATATAACCTAAACGTGGTTGTCTTTCTGTAGGCACTGGCTGCAGTTGAGGACAGGAGCAGTGCACACAGCTGTACACACATGTACGTATGTACACACGTATATCTGCACACACATGTACATGTGTACACACACATACCTATCTATGTACACACATGCAAAGGATACGACACGCCATGAAACTTGAATGTGTGACTGAGAGGTGTAAAGGACTCTACTTGCCTAAGTCATGGGCCTCACCCAGTGAGCCCTGTGATTGGTCACACTGTTCTATAGGTGACAAACAAAGAAATAGTGTTTTAAGAACAAGACAAAAAACCCTTGAATGCACATTCCTTGTCCTAATGCCAGTGAGCTCTCAGTGTTGAACCACAAATAGTTTAAAGCAGGCCAGTGTTCTTTTTGCTCACTGCTCTTGGATTAGTAAAAGGAGAGAATTATTCTTTGTGACTCCTGATTCTTTGCTAGTCAGAATCTGTATCCTTGTTATCGAGTAGGGTGGGATGTGTCAGGTTTTAAATTATTTTTATATATTAGCCGTTTCCTAGAGAAGTCAGAGACAATCACCCTAAAATGAGTTTTTTCTCTCTTCCATTTTATGATGATGATGATGGTGAGTATGATTATTTATCATTTGATTATTCTACTGGGGGTACACTGTGACATTTACAAACGTTTCTACAATATATCAAAGTTGAATTCACTCCTCCGTCATTCTCCTTTATCTCCTCTCCTCCCATTCCTGGAAGAGTTTCAACAGGTCTCATTTTTCCATTTTCACACATGAGTACATGTTATATCCACCATATACACCTCATACTCCTTTCCTTATATCCTCCGCCCCCCGCCACTGTTACCATCCCCCAGACGGGACCTGTTTTACCTTCCTGTTCTCCATTTAAAAAAAAAAAGACATTTCTGTTTATTTAAGATGGCTATATGGGGAGTTTCACTGCAACATTTCCTTGTAAAATGGATTTCTGGTATTATTCTGCACAAATGCCATGTGTTGAAATGCCCTGTGATAGCTCCCTGTAAATGTGTGCTCTATGAAATAAACTGCATGTTTTGCTTTCATTGTAATAGTAAAACCTGCACTGGTGGTGGTGTAAGGGTGGCACCAATTGTTAACCAGGCAGTGAACACAGGCAACCAGCAAGTTCAATAAATACTGATCAGATCCAGTGATTTCCCTCTTCATCTAGTTGTCCATCAGGCAGAATTCCACTTTTAGGACAAGCAGGTGTGAGTTTTCAAACTTTGGTCTTCTGGCAGCTATTTGAATGCAAAGCAGAGTGATCTTGATCTACCGGGCTCAAGCAGTACTTCCTCTGAGCTAGTAGCTCTTCCTTGCCAAGTCTGGCACCAGATGCTGTTGATCCATCTGTTGGAACTGTGGACGTGGGTGTTCTTTTCACAACTCCAAGGTGATGATGCACGGATGACACGTGCAGGAATTTCAGATGCTCAGGGTTCTTGAGCCTGCTCTGGGGATGAAAACACAGGTGGACTCCAACAGCAGAGGTCAGAAAGATTTTATTTGTAGAAAAAAGAAGAGATAGACTGCATATTGGAAAATGCAGGGGGACCCAGAAACCCGTGAGGGAAAACCCGTTAGGGGGAAGTTTAGGATAAGTTTCTGAGCTACAAGCACTAGAAGGCTTACTGTGGCCATTGCTCTGAGGCATCCTGGCCTTCCCTTGGCTACCTGATCTTACTCTTTGCTTAAGTAACCTACTGACTGGGGAGTGATGCCCCAGAGTTAGGTCACCACTCCTAAGGCCAGTCCTCCCTTTTCATAGACATATAATTGAAAGTTCTCTTGTACTGGGAGACCCAGGACAGGAGCTGTTATAAGAGCCTTTTTTAACCTGTGGAATGCATTTTCTGACTTCTCATCCCACTCAATAAAGAGCTGGGTTTCCTTCTGTGCTTCCTTAAGGATTTGATATAAGGGCCTGGCTAGGTCTGCATAGCCCAGGATCCAAATTCTACAGTATCCTGTGACCCCTCCCAAAAAAGGCCCTCAATTGCTTTAGAGTTTTAGGTAGAGGAAACGTCAGGATTGGATGGATTCTGTCTTCTCCTAGAGACCTCATTTCTTTCTCCAGGACAGGATCTAAATATGTAACCCTAGACTGACACAATTGGGCTTTTGCTTTAGAGATTTTATAACCTCTATCTGCTAAGAAGTTTAGTAAGGACTCAGTGGCTCCTGAAATGACAGGCTCATTTGGTGCACAGAGCAGGAGGTCATCTACATATTGTAGCAGAGTAGCTTGTGGATATTGCCATTCTGCCAAGTCATGGGTTAGAGTTAACCCAAAGAGGTGGGGGCTGTCTCCGAATCCCTTGGGGAGGACAGTCCATGTGACCTGTCCAGACTTTCTTGTGGGGTCCTCAAAGGCAAAGATAGGTTGGCTTTTAGGGTGTAAGGGAATGCAAAAGAAGACATCTTTTAAATTGAGGACAGAGTAGTGAGCAGTACCTGGAGATATTTGGGTTAAAAGCTTATAGGGATTTGGAACTACAGGGTGGAGAGGCACTACTGCTTCGTTGATCAGGCGGAGATCCTGGACTAGCCTCCATTTGTTAGGTCCCTTCCTGACACCGAGAATCGGAGTATTATATGGGCTGGAAGCGTTCTATTAGCAGTCCCTGTCTCTTTAAGTCTTTGGTTATGGGAATTACCCCTCCTTAACTTCTGGCTTTAAAGGATATTGTTTTTGATGGGGAAACCAGGAGGGGTCCTTGAGATGAATTAGGGCTGGGGCAGCTGTTCGTGCCCGTCCCACAGTGTGTCCATCCATCCACACTGTGGGGTCTACCTGTTCCTCTATTAGGGGCAAGCAAAAGTACTCTCCTGGGGGTAAAATAGCTGTACCCCCAATTTAGATAGAAGGTCTCTCCCTTGCAGAGGAGTAGGGGTTTCTGGGACAATTAAAAAGGAGTGACAGACTGTTGGGGATATACCCAAAAGACTGTGACACAGGTTACTCCAGAGGCACCTGCACGCCCATGTTTATGGCAGCGCTATTCACAATAGCCAAGTTATGGAACCAGCCAAGATGCCCCACGACTGACGAACGGATCAAGAAAATGTGGTATCTATACACAATGGAATTTTATGCAGCCATGAAGAAGAATGAAATGTTATCATTCGCTGGTAAATGGATGGAATTGGAGAACATCATTCTGAGTGAGGATAGCCTGGCCCAAAAGACCAAAAATCGTATGTTCTCCCTCATATGTGGACATTAGTTCAACGGCAAACACAACAATGGGATTAGACTATGAAATGAGTGAGTGAGCATTGCAGATACATGAAATATATATGATGAGAAATTGGCAATTGTAAACAGACAGAATATCAGTGATTTATCTGTTTGTTTTATTTTATTTAGTGGAGAGGGGGCAAGTATATAGGTGAGTTGGAGGCAAACTAAGGACACTTTTGTAGTGTATTGTTCGCTCTGGGATCATCCAGTTCACACAACACTGAAGTATATCAGTGCTTGTTGACGCTCGAGACAAGACAATACATAAGCTATGGATAATATCATGGGCCAACACACTACCAAAATAAAGAAATAAGAACAAAGCAAAGCTAATCAAAATAAACAAAAACACTGATACCCTTGTGAACAATATTTTAAAACATTCAATGTCAAATATTCAAATTTCTATTGTTAATGGCAAACATTATAGTAAATTGTTTCAAACAAAATTAAGACAAGATTTCACTATCAAAATAGTTATTGGATTTCTAAAAGTGTCTTTGAAAGTATTTTCCTTTTTATCTCTTTGTTTTTCTCTCAATTTGTTTGTCCTATATTGAATCCATGTCCTCAGTTTTGCTTTTTTAATGTACCCAAATATTCTGTTCCTCTATTAACTGTATTTCCTGGTAATAGCTAACTGCATTAATTCTTATTTGATTTATGCCTTCTTAGTAAATATTGTGTTTAGTAGGCAGGTACTCTACCACTCTAACAGCCAATTTTGTATTTGTTATTCTTTTAAATAGGCCCTTAATTTATGAGTGGGCCAGCCTGGACTGAAATCATCCTATTTTTGCCTTCCTGAGTAACTGGGATGATAAGCACATACAACCCTGCCTAAGTATACTGACTGGCTCAGATGGGATCTCAAAAAGTTTTTACTGGGACTGACCTCAAACCGTTATCCTCCCAAAGAGCTGGAATTACAGACTTGAGCCACTAAGCCCAACCTATATTTTCTTTAATATGTACATATTTTTATGTACTGTCCTTTTGGATTAGGTTCCTAAAACAATTGAAACATTTAACTTTTGCCATCTAAATTAAAATAAGAAAGTAAAAATAATACAGAAAGAGTTTTAATTGGCATAATTTCAAAATTTAGGATTCA